ATCTTTTATTTTGTCTATGAATTCAAATACATCTTTGACGCTATATTTCACCATCTTCTCATGCAAAGGTTTGAGAATATTTACTAACCATCTAGCTAGAGCATGGTAGGGCGAATTTTGAATATCAAGTATTAGTCTTAACTGTACCCCTGGTTTATGCACTTTAGGTAGGCCATACAATCTTGGCGTATACGTGCCCGTTGGTCTGATTTCTTCATATAAACTTTCAGAAAATATCTGCTCTTCCTTTAGTTTCTTCAAACGTCTCATTAATTCATTCTCTAGTGCCTCATGATGAATTTATCGAAAAGAGTACTCTTTGTTCAGTATCCATTCTTTTGAAAATTTTAATGGGCATTTTTAATCAGTTAAAATAACATAATTTACAAAATACCTTGCAATAACTGTGAGTGTGGTCAACTACATAGGTCAAATTGTTAGATCGGGGTAGTCAGATTGTTGGAGCATAAGAATTTAGCGAAGTTTAGAATGATTCATCCGACGAAGATAAGTCATTTAGAAAGTAGCCCAGCACTGCATTGCACTGCATGCACTAACAACGCACAGTCACACAACATGATGTGGAAGAGGGTTAAAATTCTAAGTCGTGATATGATTAGTTGAAGAGAGAGAGAGAGACTGATTACTGGATCCTGGTCTACCTGGTCTACACCGAACACATGCAACAGAAATGACTCAACACAAATACTAGAGATATGGAAGATATTATTGCCACCAGTCAAATAGGAGAAGGATAGTAAATAATGTTAAAATGTGTGTCATTTTACATTATGACAATCGAACAATTTATTTTTTTTCTTTTACTATAAAAACGTCTTATTTTCCTTCCCATCTGACTGTATCTGACTGAGAACACCAACACTAATTCAGAATGTACTTTATCTTACATTGATTTTATTCAAACATCTAATCAGTTTCACTCATGTATTTAATTGAACCAAGAAAGTTATGTGAGTGCCTCGTTGTGATTATGAGCAGTGATAAATTGTGATCGAAACGTGGTCATCAGTAAATATTACTGTACAACACTTTGATATTATCAGAATAAAATCTCATCTGTAAGGAAGTTGTTCTGATAAACTTTAATTCTATCCCCAGTCACTGATCTGGAAAGATGCATCAGAATTCTGAATCAAAAAAGGAAATGATTTTGCAATTATTATTTCCTTTAATTCCTGGAGGAACGTAGGACTTCAGCCGCGCGTCTCCATTGAGTTGGGTTCTCTGCTAGAGTTCTCACCCAGCTCCAAGTCTGCCCACATGCTTTCAGCTCCTTTTCACATGATCTGCTCCAAGTCACCCTTACACTGACGACCAATTCGCCACTTCCCTTCCGGGCTCCACTCGAGCAATGTCTTGTCTAGTGATGTCACTTGATGGTTTGTTTCCTCAGAGTATGGCTAGCCAATCCATCTCCAGTTCTTCCTACCTACTTGTTTCAAAATTGGTTCCTGCTGTGTTGATTCGCTCATTGCCAGAGATCTCTGTTGCTGATCTTTTCTGGCTGGCCATCTGATCTTGAGTATTGAGCGAAGACAACTGTTAATGAAGGTTTGTAGTTTGTTTGAAATGCCCTCTATGACGCGCCAACTCTCTGATCCATATATTAAATAGCACTGACTTCACACTGGAGTTTAAAATCCGGATATTAGTTTGATGTCCAGTGCTGTTGACCTCCTTAAAGACATAAGAGTAATGAAAGCTTGTCTTGCTTTTCTGATTCTGGCTTTGATATCCTCGTCAGTTCCGCCTGTGGTTGAAACGATGTTTCCCAGGAAGGTAAAGGAGGTGGTTTCTCTTAGATTTCTCCCATTTATGCTGATTGTTGTCTGTTGTTGTTGCTGTTGGTGGTGTTGGCTAGAAATCTTTCTCACCTCTGTTTTATCTATGTTCACCTGAAATCCTATCTTTGATGCTTCTTCTGCCAGCCTGTTGCTTTTCACTCGGATATCTTCCAGTTTTGTGGGAGATCAGACATATATCATCACTGGTGAAGTGCAGTTCCTCCAGGTTTTTTGTATGGTTCCATTTTATGCCTGTTTCCGTATTACTTGCTCTCTGTCGCATTATCCAATCTATTGCAATGAGGAAAATCATTGACCTACTATCTCCAATGATTTTCCTGATTTCAGTAGATTCCATTAATTTATGTGTGAATTCAACCCAGTTTTCTTTGTTCCTTATCAACGAACAATATATATATGTATAACCTTTATACAGACAGAAAAGGGTTATGCAACCTTATGCTCATTCTCGTGAGCATTTCAAGTATCTCGACTTATCGGAGAACAGCAGTCAGAAAGAAAGTTACATAAGCCAAAGATAAAAAAAACGATATGAAATGGTTCACCTTTTCTCTCTTCTATGTCACATTTGTATATATAACTTTTCCAAAGCAGTACATTATATATTTGTAAACCTCGGTAGGTGCGTCCAGAAAGATGACTGCATTTCTCGTAACGTGAAATCCTCGTATGCCAGTTGATATCTATGGTCGGCCTGCGAAATTTGGGCTACCGATATCCACACTGGAAATTCCATACTTGTACCAAAAATACGGTATGGAATCAAGCTGTAATCCAAAATAAAAACAAATAAAAAATAAAATAATAAATTATTTCTTCTGTTGCCTCCATTCCCCAAATCATTGAAGTTGAAGAAAGCTGCGTAGAATTCTGAATTATCGTTCATTTCGTCGACAGCCTCACAACCCATGATTAGTTCACTTCCAGCATTCTCTGTTCCCAATTAGCTGTCACTCATATCACTTTTACGGACATTGATGTAATCATTTAAGATTTTGTCTATGGCTGTTTGTAGCTGGTTATAGTAATCTCCCTTATTCTCTTGTTTCTAGTTGTTGGTTGCACTTTCTTCCTTTTGAGTTGAATCTTGCTGTCATGATCCCGGAAGAGGAAATTGGTTCTCACTACATAACAGCTTTGGCTGCCACTAATGACATCACGATAGCTATTTTATTTTTTATTACAGCTTGATTCCACACCGTATTTTTGGTACAAGTATGGAATCTTCAGCATGCGATATCGGTAGCCCAAATTTTGCAGGCCGACCATAGATATCAGGTGTGCGTCAGCATAGGCTTGAACCTCGGACCATATGCATGGTCGGTGAGAGTCCTAACCACCCTGTCACCGATGCACATCTCTGACTCACTTGTGCCCAGTGTGCTCGAGGTTGTCGTCTAGGCGACCTGATTGGAGTAGCATACTGACTTACCAGTTGAAACTTTAGATAATCCATATTCATTCCATCTGCTCTCACTGATACTCAACACCTCTACACCATTTCTTCTCATCTCTTTGCCTACCTGAGTAGCTTTCCTAGTCTCATACATTGTACGGAGATTCCACGTCCCTGTGTTATTCTTGCTTTCATAGAGAGATGACACATCGGGCTAACTGACTGGGTTCTCAAAGGCTTTTAGTAGCCATCCCGCTGTGTCATCTCTCCCCTTCTACTCCAGCGAAAAATAAGTTTGTTATTTAAATTTTTAATACTTCTCCTGTGCATTGAAATTTTCTGTAGTAGTTTGACTGATATCCTGGGAAAGTTCTCTCACCTTGCACCCAACCCTTCCTCTTTATGTAGGCTTGGGACAGGCTAGAAAACGAGTGACCTAGTAAATTATACTACTGCTAAAGTGTTTAAAACTCACATATTTACATCACCTCAAGCAAACTACAGACCTACACCATCCGCTGTCTTCGTTCAATACTACTCATGATCAGATGACCAGCCCGAAAAGAGCATCAACAGGGATGTCAGGGAGCGAACCAACCAGGAACCAATTGTGCAACAAATATGCATGAAGGAAGAAATGAAGTTAGTTGGATTTGTCATACTCTGAGGAATACATTATATGACACCAAAAGACAGGTCATAGCTCGAGTGGAAACTTAATGGAAAGCGGCGAGTTGGTCATCAATGCGAGGGTGACATTGCGGAGGTCATGCAAAAAGGAGAGGCAGACGTGGAAACGGGTGATGACAAACGTTGGCACGGAACCAAACGCAACGGAGACGTCTTGATGGAGCCCCATGTTCCTCTAGGAACTAAAAGAAACAATAATAATAATATAAATATTTACAAATCCACATTTTACTCGGTAACTAATTAATGTTTATAAGAAACTTATTACTGTTAAATTATAATGAATAAAATTGAAATTGGTAAAAACACCAAAAACAAAAAACTGTTCTTTCCCTTCTTCATACGCCTGACCTTTTTATTACACTGACATTAGTACACTGACTGTGTACTGCCTCCAAAATTCGCCGATATCATCACCAGACACACACTCACGTAAACACTCACACAGTGAAACAAGATTATTGTCTTAAGATGATGAAATAGTGTTTCAGACGAATAGCATAAACAAAACCCTCTCAGTAACGCATTACTTAATACAGAAATCAGCAAACAGTAGGTTAGGTATTGAAGCCAAGTGGCACAACTTTCTGTCTTCTGAAAAAAGGTGTATATCCTCATCTCCTCTACTTGCCTCTCTCTCTCTCAACTTCTATGTCTGCCAACAGAGTTGAATAGACAAACAATCTATTCAGAAGGAATGTTGTTTTCATATTTTTTCCTTAAACCTGCTTGCCTAGATTTGGAAATACCGCAGTTAAAAAAAACACATAAATCTGTCTCTCTAATATTTTGTGTTATGTTCTGCTTTTCCTCTGCTTTGCTTCATCTAACAACACAACTGAACAAATATTTGCCCATTTATTAGAAAATGTAAATAAATAAAAAAAATACAAACAAAAGGTCATACAGTTTGTGTAAACAAAAGAGGATACTGTCTTAATAAATAAGACAGGGGAAATTTGACGATCAATCCCTTCTGTCTCAATTTTACCTCCAATACGAATAATAATAATAATAAGCCAGAATTCTGTCTGTATTAACCAATCAGTTTGATTCTTGCTTGTAACCAATCAGAATAAAGGACATTCAATTGGCGGAACAGATAAATATAAATGTATACATAAACTTGCCCTTCACTCATTCATTCAAAACAGTGGCACTTTGCAATGAAATCTTACAAAGACTAACAAAAAGACGAAAGATATAAAAGATAATTATTGAAATCTGAACTTCAAATCATCCTAAATTTCCCTTCACATGACGTGAATATATCAAGTTTTGAAAACCAACCTATCACATAATGACTATGCACGCAGACGTCGCTTATGCATATTAGAGGCGAACATATCATCATGAGTTATTACAATACCACACCATCGGTTATCTTAATGCAAGCTGATGAATCGTTTATCCAACAAAATAGAACAATCAATCCGTTTACAACTGAACCAGTTGAAATTTTATTGCCAAGTGTAATTGCAACAACAATTTTACTGGTCAGCATATCGATTATTGGTACCATTGGTAATAGCCTGGTTGTCTGGGCATTTCGTAAACAAGTTAGTCAAGGTATTGTCTCTGGTCTGTTTATTCTTCTACTGGCATGTAATGATTTATTCATCTGTTTAATTGTAATTCCCTGCACCCTGTATTTAGATATTTGGACAGGGGATACCACAGACTGGATATGCAGAATCCACTTGTCAATGAAAGGGTTTGTTGTACCAATATCAGCGTGTATATTAATGTTAATAGCCATGGAAAGATTCCTACTGATATGTTTTATCCCCGGTATACAAATGAAACGTAAACATATTGTGATAGCACTAGTGATAATCTTTTGTATTGGTCTATTATGTGCTCTACCAATGGGTCTACATGTGACTGCTATCGATGCGTGTAAAGAACACGATGAACTACTGGATTTGAACACGTTGAAGCATAGTTTATCGACATTTAAAAGTAAAGAATGGTTTGTCCAGCTACGCGTGACAAAACGTTGTGATAAAGATGAGACATACTTGAATGATAACTTATATTGGTATCATCAAATCTGTGTGCTGATTTTATTCATTGGCCTATTTATTGGTACAGCTGGTACATATGCCCTAATATTTTTATTCGTTTGGAGGCACGAATCATTTATGTACGAGAAATATGGCACGTCTAAAGCTGCAAAAGGCAGTTGGGTACGTATACATGCAGCGATGAATTCTTCCGGTGAACCTTGCAGTCCAGCAATATGGAATCCGTTTAGAAAGCGATTGTCATTTCGTCATAAACAGAGACAGAATAATAACGCCTGTAATACTAATAATAATAACAACAACAATAATAATAGTAATAATGAGAATGTACAAAACGTGAAGTCGAAACAACAAAGTTTAAGTCTTCAAAATGAATCCAATGAAGTGAGTCATGAAAACCTGAACCAGTCGCAACAAGAAGCAATACCACTTCAGCAGGTCAGTACACTTTGTGTTAATCAACCACAAGCAGATTTAACGACTTCGACAAGTTTTGAGGCGTCTAATCTAGATCGATTAAGTTGTGCATGTTTATGCGAAAAAGAGGGAGAGAATGAAGATTACTTGAAAAGTATTCATAATCCTATTTTTAACTATCAAAATGTAATTCACAAGAGTCCTGGAGGTGTTGTTGCTGGGGATAGTGATGAGGTGGTTGCTAAGGTGAAGAAACAACCACAGTGTCTTATCCATCTGAATGATATAAAGATATCAAGTAGTGAGAAAAATAAAAGTCCAGTCGACATGAAATCTAATTCCAATTCCCCAAAACAATTGACAGCAGCCAACCTTGAACGTCGACGTAAACCACATGTACGTACAGCACAAACATTGGCTTTAGTGGCTGTTAACTTTATTATCTCCTATACACCCTATTTAGTCTATACAACAATACCAATACAAAAGAGGCAAGTCGAAGTATTCAGGGATAAACCACATTGGACAAGTCAACTACGCCGTGTATTATTTTATATGTATTTTATTAATTCAGCACTGAATCCAATCATTTATTCTTGTATGAATCGACATTTTCGTGCATGTACACAAAAATTTTATAATGATTTAAAATTAAAGTTGAAACATTGTACGGGGAAATCACGTCTTATGAAAGAGACAGTGCATCATCAGAATAATTCACTCCCACTGGATAAAGTTACAAATACAGAGGAGAATACTGAGAACTAGCCAAGGAACGCAAACACACACACACACATACACACAGAGGAATCCTAATCTCTCCTATGACATTTTTTCATCTTTAATGCTTTTTACATCATCAGATAGAGTGTATACAGTTCGATTTTGTGTATTTGGTTTGTATTTTATAATATTATGTCACGTCATTGACAGCTTAACATTTATGATAGTAATAATAATAATCACATTATGTGTATGTGACCTATGTATGAATCATTTTGTGAACATATTTTCGTATATACATCAATATAAATGCACACATAAACACTTACATTTATACACACACATGTACTCAAAGTGTTGTACATTAAAAGTGAGTGTTTTTGATCAGAACTCAAGGTGTTTTCCCTCTTCTCCTTGTTTTTCTTATGTTGTGTGATAATGGTGCGAAAATAGTCGAATTTGTTACACGTTTTTTTATGTGATCAGTGTGATATGATGACTGTCAGGGTTAGTCTTTGATACTCTGATTGGTAGTCATTTGTGTAAAAGTATGAACGAAGGCGACTGAGTGTTTCAGCCATTTATGTTACGTAGGCTATTCTAGGAATTAGTTTTTTTGGTTCTCAGTAGAACACACAGCCTCAACAGTCGATCTACATCTCCCTGCAATCCTGTTAATATGTACGCCCTTGTGACTGACCACAGTCTCTCATCTCCACATCATCTCCTCTATGTCATCGTCGGACGCAGTACTCGTTGTTCCACACACTCAGGTTAAGAATAATAATATTCTGCTTTGGGTCCTAGTGGCTCAATGGTCTACGAGTTTGCCTTGTAACCAGAAGGTCCTGAATTCGAACCCCGACAGGTGTGTACTTTTGAAGAGTCCCAAATGAGGATGAAACAGCTGTTGTTGGCCAGTGGTTAGGACGCTCGCCGAACATGCACATGGTCCTGGGGTTCGATCCCCGGCCATCAGTGCACTCCTTCATCTCGCTAAGCCAGAATAATAATAATGCTCGGAAAGAGGAAAGGTTGGTCATGAGACTGGCTAGCAACCTCATCCTGTAAAATTAAACGCTGCTACAGAAATTTCAAGCCACTAGTTTGAAGCCCTATGTTCCACTGGAGGAACGTGAAGGGAAAAAAAAATCTACTTTATTCCAAAAACAGAATTATTTATAATACAGAATAGAATTCTCAGCATTCTTCACAACACCTTGCATCTGATTTACTCAAAATATAAATAAAATTAAAAAGTGAAACAAAATTAACCAGAGGAATTTATCCACTTTTACGATATAAAGTCAAAAAGTATTCGAAGTAGGTATTGAGAATATCAAATATAATAATAATAATAATAATTCGAGTGAGTTTGTTTGAAAAAGTATTGTCGATTCAGTTTGGAAATTTTAGCATGTTATAGAGGCATTGAATTTAATGTCCTGTTGATATAGCAGCATGGTGAGGCAAAATACAAAACCAACAGTTATATAACACAGCTTAAATGAAGTTCACACTTATGAAAAAATAAACAAATAGAAACAAAAAATTGAGAGGATTATAAATATAAGCTGTGGATTGATCTTTGTATTTAAGGTATAGTTTCCAATGTTATATGTTCCTGCAGTTTGTTATCGAAAGGGTGTGTTTATAATAATAATAATAATTTCATACATTTGGTCCCTTTGATAAATTTCGGTGGAGAAAGAAAGACCAAATTTGCAGTATAAAATGATATCATCATTCTACTTCACAGGCTATCATCAGCTAACTCTGAACTGCCTGAAATCACAATGGTTATAAATAATGACATTTCATACTTCAGTGTTGATGGTCTCGTGTCGGTTCTCGTCAAGTCATTATCTTGAATCATGTCTGGTTGTGGTAAAGGCAGTAAGGGATTGGGAAAAGTAGGAGCAAAGAGATATCGCAAGGTTCTCCGTGACAACATCCAAGGAATCACCAGGCCAGCTATCCACCGTCTCGCTTGTAGTGGTGGTGTGAAGCGTATCTCTGGTTTGATCTACGAAGAGACTCGTGGTGTTCTCAAGGTGTTCTTGGAGAATGTGATCCGTGTCGCTGTGACGTACACAGAGCATGCGAAGAGGAAGACTGTGACAGCTGTGGATGTTGTGTATGCATTGAAACGCCAAGGTCGTACTTTGTACGGTTTTGGTGGTTAATTTTCTCAGCATGTGTGAATGAATGTTTTGTGACCAATGAGTGGTCCGCACGAGAACGAATCAAGGTCCTTTTTAGGACCACCTGCATCGGTGGCATAGCAGTTAGGACGCTCGCCGACCATGCACATGGGGTCCGGGGTTCGATCACCGGCTGACGCACTCTTTTACCTTGCTTAGGCAGAAAAAATGCTGGTGAAGAGGATAGGTTGGGTATGAGGCTAGCACCCTCAACCTGTGAAAATAAACACTACTGCTACAGAAACTTCAAGCCACTACCTTGAAGCCCTATGTTCCACTGGGAACGTGAAGGAAAAATTATTATTATTATTATTATAAATATAAGAAATACAATAACAATAAAGTTTGATGTTATGAGAGTGGAGGAAATGGTACTCGAGGTATGGCCTGGTGCATGGTGTTATTAGATAGTCTCTCCTGCTTGTGTCCAATCCATCTTCTTTACTTTTCGAAAAATTCATTCATCAATAGGTTCTTGATTGTGTTGTGCTCCCACAGGTTATTCCTGGTAATTTTCTTTGGCTGCCTATTTCATCTTCAGTGCTAGGGTTAATGAAGGCAGCTATTATTAAAAGCCTGTACTAGGCTGTTGGAAATGCCCTCTTTTGACGTGCCACCTACGTTTACAACCTATATAGACGAAATGACTGGCTTGTCAGTAGTACTTTGTGGTGTGCAATACCTTGCCTTTACGATTGCGGTTTTGAAGTCTTCACCTACGACATCGCCTGACGTTGAAACGACACTGAGTAGGTAAATGAAGGAAGTCTACCTTTTCACATTTCTTTCGTTGGTAGTCCCTGGTGTCTGCTAGTTTGTCATCTTCATCAGCCCCATCTTATCTATGTTCACGTGAAGTCCTGCCTTCACTGCCAGACGTTTCTGCCAACCTGTTGGTGTTAGCCTGTATGCATTCAAATTTATTTGATATGGGGGATGAATTGTCCTCAAAGTTCAGATTTACTAAAGTGTTCTTATAGGTCTAGAGTATTCTTATCTTCTCGCCTCATACCTCCACTGTCTGGCGCATAATTCAGTTCACCAGAATTAGTAAATATCATCGTCAGTGATAATTGGATATTCTCACCTTACTCCTATCTATACATCAAAGGCTTAATTAGCTGAATTTTTCATTTTATATCACGTGGTACATGGCGAGCACTGTCAAATAGACAGGTGTTGAATGAAGAAGTTGTTAAAGACTTGGGGACTGTACGTCATATTGTTGAAGTGGTTTCTAAATTACTTCCCGGTCAACGCTGTACTGTTGAAGGCTTTTTCGAAGTCGATGTAGTTAAGGTAGAGGTTCGACTACCATTTTATGCCTTATTCTGTGATGACAATGCGTAAAGTTGCAATTCAGTCAGCATATGATTTGCCTTTCCTGAGTTCAGCTTGTTCTAGGCGGGGAGGGGGTGGAGTTCTGCATCCAGTTCATCGTTTGCGGACACTTAAGTCGCACTTCTTTTACAATTTACTGATACCACATTAGACGTAGATACGGAAACCTCTCACATTTCACGTCACCTAGTCAAATGTGATAACCCCAATAATATGTAGAATACGGCTTAAGCTTAACCGACTCATGGTGTTTGATATTATCATTTTATTATTACTACTAATACCTTGGGTTCTAAGTGGAACATATGGCCTCAGCGGCACGTCTGCATTCCACTCTCATTTCTATTGTCTTTTTCACTTGACCTTATGATTCCCCATTAGGTTTCATTTCCTACTAATCCCATCTGTTACATATGACTGTAGAACCGACGCCGAAATTGTCATATCCCATTTAATTTCTTACTTGAAGGCTGACCTAGCTCATGATGTCTCTCAAGAAACTTCTCAGCTTCTGACTGATCCATATTCATTTAATTCTGTTTATTCTTTTTTTTGGTTGTTTGATTGCTAGACTTTATTGTCGACGATCCTTTCTCGTCACCCCTCTGATCTTCAATAGGAAGGTGAGATAGACATCTATGAAAGTGCGCAGATGACTGCTGGAAACGCTTTTGGTGATGTACACACGCCAACACTCTACTCCGTACACAAGCAGTGACTCTAGATAATAACATTCTGCCCAGTAGTCCAAGACCTGTATCTCATTTCCATGGCCATAACCTTTATTCGAACAGTGTTACTAAAGTATTCTGTTTATAGCGCATGAGAAGACAGACTAATAATAAGTTTGCGTAACTACTCGTTTAAATCTTGATTACAGCTTAAGCAAAGTTGTTTGTTTCAGGTTAGACTGGGGATTGGTATCAGTTAGGGAACCAGTAAAAACCAGAGTTCATGAACAGCCAAGTTTGGGACTCATTGGTAGCACTCACCCACCGGGTGTCCTGTTTCGAACATAGGACATTCCAGTTAAAAGGTAAGCTAGCTCGTAGATCATTCAGCCTCTGGGAACCAATTCAATGGTAAGCAGGAAATCCATCCTCACTCCCAACTGGATGGACCCCAGTGGTCACGATTTCTCAGTTGGCCTCCAAGCAACTTCATAACGTAACTAGTCACTAGTGAGCGCCAGATTAGTTTTGAAGAATTAGTTTGTATGGATTCTACTTGATTTTGATAACTACTCATGACTAAGACATAATTGGAGAAGAATTTTAGAGACAGCATGCATCCTGACATATTGAATTTATATATGTATTATATGTTTTACACTAACTGTGATCAAGATTTCACCGATTAATTCATCAGCAGTTGCCTACCGAGTGAGGAAAGACAAAATTATCTCAGGGAAATTAAAACAAATAATCCCAACGATCCGTACAGCAAAATAATCCGAACTTCTTCAGCGAAATTATTCAAAACTATAATAAATGTTTTTTTTTTAATTTTTGATTACAGCTTGATTCCACACTGTGTTGTTGGTACAAGTATGGAATTTTCAGCATGCGATATCGGTAGCCCAAATTTCTTAGGCCGACCATAGATATCAGGTTCGCGTCGGCATGGGATCGAATCCCGGACCATTTGCATGGCCGGCAAGAGTCCTAATCACTGTGCCATCCACGCACATATATATATGTGTATTAAAGCATGTCTTTATAATCGTTGTCCGATCTTTAGAGCTATGAATAGACATCAGAATAACGGCCAACGAACTTGCCTTGTAACTGGAATGTCCTGGTTTTGAAAGCCAGTAGGTGCGTACTGCCGATGATTTCCAAACTAGGCTGTC